TTTTTATTGTTTAATCGATTTAATGTGGTAACACCAATCAGTGTTACCTTAATCCTCCAAATTAAAGAAAATGACAAAAAATATTAAACAGCAAACATCATAAAACACTGAAAAAAAGGTCTACATTGCTACCAAAACCGGATTATGGCAAAGTTAAAACTGCAGATGATTTTTCAGGATTTGTTTCAAATGAAATTATTATTTTGATGATTTCTGAGGCTAAAAGAGGAAGATGTAAGCTTACCTTTTTCGCTTTAATAGGGAAAGAATAATGAGAAAATTGTTACCGGTAGATCTGTATGTACAGAGCCATATTTTTTGCTCATTTTTTTCTTGCGCTTGTTGTTCTACGAAAGTTACAGTTATCAGCTGTCTAGCATTCTTTATTTTTGAATCGGATTAACAATTATGAAAAAAGGAAAAAAAAAAAAACATCAAGAAGATGCAAGAGACCCGAATTGAACATTCTACAGAACTATGAAAAGTTCGGAGTTTAACCCACGTGGTATAGTTATAAGCATTTTTAAACGTAAATCTGAGTTAACTCTTTCGAATACGGTAGTTTTGCTAATTATTGATTAGCATTCGTCAATCAATTAGACGGCACTTAAGAGTACAACAGCAGAGTGTTTCACCAATAGCTCTTATGACTGTACCTATCATTAAGTGTACGATTAATTCATCTCGTCAATCGTAGGCTTCAAACAGTTAAACTGTCACTAATTACACGAATATCAAAAAGTTTTTGATTTAGAATAACTTGTTTTTCACTATGTACACTTTTTTTAACAGTGGTCCTACTTTACTTTTACTCTTGAACCAGCTTTTTTACTTCATTGTTTTGTGTCTGTACAAACTTTTATCATTTTGTTTCAATTAAATTTTATTAATTGACCTCCCCCTCCCATTCACATTTTAATCGAGCCCAATGTAAAATTGATTTTATACAGAATCATATTTCCAATTTTATCACCAATTATAACATGGAGAATAGGTAGGGAATTTAACATTCTGCGTATCTATTCTTCTGTCGGATCAGTAGTGAAGGATGTGGCATGGGCCTACATTCGCTAGAGAAGCGATAGTAATTTCGTGGTCGGTATATTGTCGAAAAAAGTATTTTTTCTGTTGTAGAAGGTGGTAATGAAAGTCCGGCTTATTTGGCAAAAAAAAAACATGGCCCTCTAAAATTCCAGAACCTCTCTCTGGACATGAGCGGCCAAACGATCAATGATAGAGATCCCATGTTGTCTTAGGTAGCCCTAGACGAACTTGCGTACGGCGGAGTGATGAAACGCAAAAGAGCAGAGAACTACCCCTATTGAAGCAGGATATGAGCCACCATCCCCGACCGTATGAGAAGTGAGGAAAGATCGTCTCATGGAATTGGTCAGTCAGAGAGTGAGTGGGCTTCGAGTAATGAGAGCAAACCAATAAGAGCTGCTTGCCAAATTTGACGCAAAGATATCGCTGTAGAGCCAATATTGAAAATGTGTTGAATCGCTGTCTGATTCCGCCTAGTGTGAAAAGAGTAGCCAACGACATTGCATCGGCGAGAATTTTTATCTCCAGCCGATATGCATGGCCGAAAGTGTGCATTTGCTGGCGATACCACTTTAGAAGCTGCAAGCCGCCGTGTGTTTTAGCAGCAAGGACTCTGGCACTTGACATAACAATAGAGGACACCATTTTACCATGTTTTCTGTTCAACTATTGCCAATTTTGCACCTTCTCTGGTGCAACAAGGCCTATGGTACCCGATGGAATGCCAATAAATCGAAGGAAAAGCAAAAAATCAACAACATTTGATTTTGTTCAGTGATTCAGTGTTATAATATTTGCAGACACATGCAGACAACCCCCCCCCCCAAAAAAACAAAAAAACAAAGAAAAGAACTAGTATTTACATTATCTTTCTTTTGTTGTAATTTATGATATCTGCTATGTGTACTTTACATGTTTTAAGAGAAATAAATGAAATGCCTGTAGAGGACTTAACATCTTTAAGAGATCTTTATAAATCATTTATTTTGTTTATAAATACAAATTCAATGAGACAGGATGTGTTCGCTGACAATGTTGATGACTATAAGTCATACTATAATCGAAAACCTATGGTCAATATTTAAAGAAATATTTGGTTATGTTAAGAAAATGCAACAAAAATGGATGCTTTTCACGGTTAGGTCTTCTAAGGAATGTTTGGTGAAATTGGGGGAGGATCACCTGCATTAACTTGCACTGTTATAAATGCAGTTATCCCTCTAGATTCTCAGAGGTTTGCATTTGATATCAAAACTGAATAAAACAAAGGCATATTTATTTTGGAAAAAAATCACGAGGCTTTTAATCCATCTCAATCATCAAATATTTGAAAAACAGCAGTAATAAAACTACTTTTCCATTTTAGCTAAGGCCTTAAAATGCATTTTGAACCAGTGTATTATTAGGCCTATCATTCGGACACGATGCAATCAATCATTTTAAACGAATGAAGTGATTTCTGATTTCGGATAGAAAGGACCACAGTATGCGTAGATGAAGTGTATTCAAGAAAGACGGACAGCAGTTGAAGGGAGGGGGATGCAAACGAGATACAGAATAACAACCTACATATGAGGCATACTATGTATTACTTTTTTAGATATGAGTAGTATAAGTAGCTTCTGTGTAATTCAATTAGGGCACTGAAGGCTATGATCGATTCATAGCGTGTTGTTGTTCTGGTAATTTCCCCGTTGAGATACAGCGTGAAATGTTACTGAACATTATCACAAGTCAAGCGGAAAGAGAAACTGCACATCCAGGCTCCACCTGTCAGAGTTCGCTGTCTGCACGATTTACTATGCGATGCGTTCGCTACTGGGTTCTGTTTGGCAAACTGTTCGTTGAGAACGAACCACATGCCCACTAGTCAGCTTGTCTACATTAGCATCTATTAGATTAATTCATGCTCATATTTTGTTTGAGAATGTCTACCTTCATCTCTACAAGTATTAGTAGACTATCGATTATATTATTCGTATTTCAAATACAAACACTTTCTGTGGTCAGTAACATTGAGGATTCATAATAATTCTTTTTCTCTATAAATTAATAAACCATCTGGTAGTTTGATCTGGGCATGTTAGTCGAAGGTCAATGCCTTTAATTTCTGTATTATATTTATTACGAAATAATAAATAAAAAATACGTGTAGGCCTAATTTTATTAACTAATTTAAAAAAAATGTTTTGCAGTCATCCATGTAAATCGAGTGTAACCATTGATTGTGGCATCAGAGAAACTGTTTCCTACAACATCATATCTGCTTCCTAATCATATTCATTTGCCATATAAGATGAATATTCAATTAAAGTAATTTGTATATTATTTAAATGAAAACCTTCATCAAAAATAGTATCTACAGAGAGGCAATCACTGGTGATGCCTTACTCAACAGGGTATCTGCAGTTTTCGTACATTATCGGATCAACTACATGATCATAGTTAAACTATGATCATATTTCCCATTTACGACCATTGCTGGTCTACTTCGGTGATACGCATATTAATTTAATAAACATGTAAGCGATAATTGATCTCCTTACCAACTGTATTGATCGAATCACTGATCGTAATTTGCCATTATGCTATAAGCCCATTGTTTCTACGGTTCGATTAATATTAATGTACAGTAGTTTAATTATTATTGAACTTTTGAATAGTCATAGTTTTACATAAATAATAGATGATAATTTTATATAGGCAATGTTTATATGATAAATCTGATTGACATTTATCGTGTCTACGAAGTATTTATTTAGAACTTAACTTCCAACTAAATTTTGCTAACCTCTGTGCAACGTTGGTTTTACCTTTGTGTTAACCTAACCGAACATTGTTGTTAGGTTATGAAATAAGTTACGTTACTTTTGTGTTGACGTTTATTGATAGTTTTGTGTTAATACTTGCTACACCAAAACAGGAAAAATGTAGAACTTATTTAAACCATACACTTGAATGTAAGTTGTGTAGTTGTATAGACTGAGAAGCGTCCTGGTCGCGGCCCTGGTTAACGCTCCACCACCACCGCCGCCGCCGTACCAAACACGACTGTGCTAGAAACTGTTTCCAGCTCTGGCTGAACAACGTATCTATCAAGTGTGTGGACATTAGATAAGAAGAATTAGACTTCAGCTCACAAATTCTTTGTAATACGGTACCAAATACATACATACGCCTATGATTCGAAACACTCATCAGACGATTGATGTGAGAGTCACAGGACGAAAGCTATTAGATTTACGTGGACAGGTTGTAGAGTGATGATAATTGATGGATACTAACAACATGGAATGATACTGAGATCAAAGTGATTTCTGAAATATTAAAGGAAAATTTAGTGAAAGCCGCCAAGCACTTTTCATCAATTTTGCAATTCCAGGCATTCTTCGGTAGTAGCATCGTCTGTGCGCTGGAGCGTGGAGACCCTTTGGTTCCCGGTTCAATTCCATCCGCTGCTCTCCTTGTCTTGAGGATAAGACGCTTAAGCCGCTGGCCCCATGTGTAATATTGTTCAGCTTTCTGAATTTCATTATTCATGATTCTTTTAGTGTTTTATAATGTTTTTACATTGATATTTTAACGTTGATATTACAGTATGTAAAATAGTTTCATGCTTTTTTTCAGTGGAAGAATAATTTCTATTTTACTTCAAAAATAAAGTTTGATTTGATGTGCACTTTGAAGAAAGTAGTACACTCTTTGGGGCAAAGTAGGGGATTTTCCTCTAGTGTACTGACGAATTCACCACTAATGTACCCCAATTTAAACAAGTTTTCGGACTTTGTGTGATGACCAAAAGAAATACTCCTATATCTATCCTACTCGTTATCATCGTCTTCCCATTAAATAATAATGCACTAGGTAAACTAATATTATTCAGAAAGTTAATTGAAGATGTTTGTATGTTATCGTTTACACATTGGCTAATATTGGTTTATATTTGTCTCTTTCAGGGGATATCTTTATCATTGTGTATAGTATCGATAATAAAAATACGTTCCAAGAAGCGATACGTCTAAAAGACCAAATCATCGAAACCAAAGTATTTAATGGTGGTGCCAAGAGTGTTCCAATGGTAGTGGCAGCGAATAAGTGTGATAAAGATAGCGGTAGGGTTGTTAGTTCAGAGGAGGCTGCAAAATGCTTTGAGGCAAACAACAAACGATGTTCTTTTGTTGAAACATCAGCAAAAAAGTCGGTAAACATTGACACGTTATTTAGATTACTATTTGAAAATGCCAAACTGCCAAGCGAAATGAGCCCATCTTTGCATCGGAAGATGAGCGCCAGCAATACACCCACTCTCAAGCCTAAGGATAATCACCGACTAACTTTTCGGAGAAGGCTAAGCGAGGCCTGTGGAATTGTTTCACCCAATGCTCGGCGACCGAGTGTGCGCAGCGACCTTTTACAGATGCGTCTTAAGTTAAGCCAAAGAAGTCTTGTCAATGACGATGGTGAATCTTCGATTTCAACAGGACGAAAAATCAAAAGAGTTGTTTGTTGCATCCAGTAAACTCAAAACATTCCCTGTGGAAATGTTACATTAAAAGGAAGTTGGTATCTAATCGTTTCACGCTGCTCATAACATGTACATAAGTAAATTCAGTATTTGAAAACTTGTAATAAAAACAAACAGTAGACCGAATACGCTATTATATGTGTGAAATAACCGTGAATCGATAAATCGGAAACAATTTACAAAACCCTTCGAAAATAAAGTTGAAGTATTACCTAAATTGGTTTGGTTAACGACTCGTTTTCGAGTTCAAGATAAGAAGCAATCTGCCAAGTTGTAGCTATAGATTGAGCTACTTTCACACGCACGGAGTTCATCTATCTGTACTTTCATCGGCCTAATTCCCATTTATACGTTTAAATAGTATTTACAAAAGACTGATACCACTGAATAGTGTGGGTTAAAATTACATTAAATGGAAAACGGAAAGAAATATTATTGCTTATGAAAAGAAAACAAATTTATTTTTAATTTAATTTTTGCGAGATGATAAAGATTGTGAAAGAACGCATACAGTGATTTTCAAAGTTTATGGAATACAAGCACAACATTGTTGATGAAACTGTCTGGAGTATAGTAAACCAAAAGTATGGTGAAACAAGGCCTGAAAAAACCCTTTCAAACACGGAGGCAATGGAAGAAACATAATGACAATGCTGCATGGAATCCAGAGGTGAACTCTGGGAGGCAAAAACTCTGTCACAAAGTTTGAATTTACCTGCCAAGGTTTTTGATGTTGTAAACCTACTGAGCAGTTTACTAATTTTGCATCTGAATTGAAAAAATGTACGGAACGCCGGCATGACATTGCTCTATAATTGTTTTTTATAGAGTTCTTGTTAATGTCAATTAAGCTTTACTTATGGCCTCTCATAATGTTTATGCTGGATGGGATGACTTTTAATTGTCTGTTGCTCATTTTTTCTTCAAGTGGATTGTTAATTTATTTTCATTGCACTTTCTGTAGTTCCCGTTAATAACTTTTAGCCGGTTTTCATATCTTTAAATATGTTTAATATGTTTAATGTTAGCTCGGGAGGCACCCATATAATGTGTTGAGCTGGCAGCTCATGCCTTTTTAGTAACTAACCGCTTTTATTGTTATTGTATATTTTTATAACTGTGTTATATAAATTAATAATTTTCAAAATATCAAATCAAATTTGACATAGTCACGTTAGTAAATTTCAAATCAAATCAAGTCAAATTCGACATAATCGTATTCATGAATTCACCGCGTATAGCCAGCATCTACTAAGCGCGGGAAAAGGAGGTGGGGGGGGGGTCTTGCCATGGGTCCAGAGGCCTCGAAGCTTGGGTGTTTAAATATAACGTAGTGGTATATCTTGCTGGTTAAAATAACTAAAATAATGATCATACAAAGGCAAGAGGTTGCCAGAGAGGGCGGGGTGCCGGAACCTGTTAAGCCTCTGGTCATATCATAATACTACAAGCCTAATACACCAATGGACCTTACCGTTTAGCCCCGATCGGCCCCTTGATTATTGTTGCTAAGGTCCCACAAAACGACAATGTTAACCTAGTTCAGACTGCCAGTCTGAACTAGGTGGCTTATCTCAAGCCGGGTGTTCCTATAGTAACTAGGCCTGGCGTGCCACCGTGTTTAAAGCCTGGTTCCCACGAGAGCCCTAGTATCCGGATCGGGAGCTATCCGTTAGCGCTAACCGTTAGCACCTGCGTGAGAACGCCCGATCGGTTAGCGCTAACCGTTAGCAGTATCCGGATACCGCTAACGGTTAGCAAGCGCTATCGGTTAGCAAGTTGAGCGTGTTTCTATCATCAACCAATCACACGTACGCGTTTACAATTTCCAGTTTCTTATTGGCAATGATTCGGTCATCATATTTTTGGTATCCGGATCGGGATTTTCTCGGATGGACGCACGGCAGCTAACGGT